AAAAAAAAAAAAAAAAAAAAAAAAAAAAAAAAAAAAAAAGGAAATAACCCAAGAAAGAAGGAAATAGAGCATCAACCCAGTAAAGGAATAAAGGAAATTCTCAAGTTAACAGTTGGAAAATAGGCCCATGAAAAAATAGTCCATATTACAAAACATAGTACTCTAGAAGGAAGGAGTAGAGGGAGAAAAAAGATCTGATACTATGATTTAAAGAATATAAACTTAAAACAGTCAATGCAAGAAATCAACTGGCAACCAAGGATGCAAGGAATCAAAAGCACAGTACTACAGACTCTTCTTGAAACAACTATTCGAAGATAGAACCTAACCAGTCAAAAGATGAATTAAAGTGAAAAATGCATGAAGAGGTAAACTGAATAAAACTGGCTGCATTAAGGATCATCAAATCAGTTTACATATTACACTAAGACTAAACACTTGTAGTAAATTAAGGACATTGAGCAGAATGAAAAAATAAATCTTGATAATATAAAAATAATAAAACAGCTATTTTTTAATGGGGTAAAAGATCATGGAAAGAAGTGTGAGAGCTAATTTCTTTGTTTTAAAAATGAGAAATGAAATGAAATGGTAAATTTCTCATAAAATTCTCATATTAAAAATGAGAAATGAAAATCAGGGAGTCAACCCTTACTGTCAACAAATGAAGCAAAGCATTTTTTCAAACAGTAATTTAACCATTTCATTTATTTTCTTATATAGCTTTTCCTAATGTTAAGAAAACTTTTTACCAATTACTATTTGTTGTAATCAAGTAATATATACCTAAAATTCAACAATTCCTTTATTTTTGTCTCTTAAAACAAGTAAAATTAAATTAATATTTTTATTAAATAAAAATTGTTATGTTAAAAACAGTACACATAGTAGGATTCCATTCTTTTTTTTTTTTTAAAGATTTTATTTATTTATTTGACAGAGAGATCACAAGCAGGCAGAGAGGCAGGCAGAGAGAGAGGAGGAAGCAGGCTCCCCTAGAGAGCAGAGAGCCCGATGTAGGGCTCGATCCCAGGACTCTGAGATCATGACCTGAGCCGAAGGCAGCGGCTTAACCCACTGAGCCACCCAGGCGCCCCAGTAGGATTCCATTCTTACAATACTTCTGTTTGTCTTTTCAATCCATGTATCTATAGACCATGATATCTAGAATATTTGTTTAATGTCTTAATAGTCACACTTCTATAGTCAACAGTAGGTATTTTAAAGAGGGAATACTCCATTTTTTATTTTATACACTTCTGTTATACGTGAATGGCTTAAACTTACCAGAGTTGCTTTTTTAATGTCATTGTTTATTCAGGTGAAGCAATTATGACCCTCACTCTTCTTCTATTTCTCTGTGATATTTTTAAAATAGCTAATATAATTACTGTGTATATAAAATCATATGAGACAAATATTATGGTAATAATACCAAAAACTAATATCTGAAAGTTTAATGTACATTAATGTCCTTAGAACTGTATTACAATCCCGCGAAACATTTATTTCCAGTTTACAGAAGAAGAAACAGGCTAGTAATTAAGGCTAGTAATTAAGATCTGAACAGGCTAGTAATTAAGATCTGAACCCATGGCTGGATACTTCTTATATTATTATTCTTCAGTACTCAGTGCTAAATCTGTTATATTCCCTAATGTTGTTCTTCATTAAAACAAACAAAAAACTGCAGCCAACTAAGTTAGACATGAGTAAAAAAGTCAGAATATTTTGAAAAAAAAATCTTCAAAAACAGTGAAGGATTTTCATTTTCATTTTTCAGAGGAAAAAAAACCTCTTCCATTCTATAAACTAACATAAACATCATCTGTTCTTCTTGGACCCTCTTCTACACAACACATTGCCATGTGATGGAACTTTAGGCTGACTGTTAAAGGTTTTTAAAAGTTTTCTGAGCTGGCTGCAATTTTTTTTTTTTTAAAGATTTTATTTATTTATTTGCCAGAGAGAGAGGGGGAGAGAGAACACACAAGCAGGGGGAGTGGCAGGTAGAGGGAGAAGCAGGCTCCCGATGAGCACTTGAGCAAGGAGCCCCATGAGGGACAAAATCCCAGGACCCAGGGATCATGACCTGGGCTGAAGGCAGATGCTTAATTGACTGAGCCACCCAGGTGTCCCTGGATGCAATTTATTTTTAACAATTATTATGTATTGGTTGCAAGCTGGCATAAAATATTCCTTACAACGTAAAATATTTTATATCACTCTGTGACAACATTCTCAGTTTGAAAAGCTGCAAATTGTACATTTTACATTCTTACTAGACGCTCCTCTTGAAAACATTTCTCCGAGTCACTTTCAACTTCCAACGTCATAGGCAGAAACTCAAAAAGAAATGTCAACCAGAACGTGTTTTGTTTATAAACATCCGTCAACAAACTGTTGCTGCAAAAACCTCAGAAGTCCCTTTGCAAGGCGTGCTTAATTCTGAGGAAGGAAAAAGTGGACTTGGGAACCAGCCTTTCCTCTCCTGCCCAGGAGGCGGGAAGTGCGTACACGGAGCAGGAGAGGAGAGAGTAACGACTTAGGCTTTATAGTCCTGAATATCAATTATTCTATCAATTTACATTTTGTAAGCTTAGCAAGTTCCGAAAAGGGCGGGCAGGTGAGAGAGAAAGATGATGTGACTGAGAGTCAGGCAGTGAAAAGATGAAACTGGGGAAGAAGATGGGAGGAATAAAAGAGTTGGGGTATTCCTGCCAACCAGAAAACTTCCCCCTTTTATCCCGCCTTCTTCACCTGATCCTTACCTGATCTTCCAGTATCTTGTTCTCCTCATTTGCCACAGGGATAGCAAACCCATTGTCCCAGTGCAGCTCCGCCAAGAATTCGCTACTCATGGTGGCAAGCCGACAGGGGACCTCCGACAGGCTGTGGAAGAAAGATCCGTCTCCCCGTACAGCCGAGGAGCAGCACGCCAGGCGGTCCCCGACACCGGCAAAGCTCCCAGGTAATCACCGCCGCAGCCCTAGCAACCGTCCCGCACCCTTAGTTTCCAAACAGGAAGTGCTCAAACCGCAAGGCAAAACTTCCGGTGGAGAGCTGGGTCCCTAGATCGTGAGCCGCTTTTTCTTTTTGAGCTCCCAGGGAAGCGAAGCACCTTACTCCAGAGGTTCGCTGGGGTTGCGAGGCGCCAGCCTAACTCTCCCTCCAACTGCGGCCTGGGGTCCTCTCCCCAGGCACTCCCGGAGGGTGTAAAGTCGGTGGCGCCTGCAGTCTCTAGGCTACACAGGGTACGGGAATGGCGTTGCGCTACGCAACTGCCGGATTGCAAGCAGAAAAGAGCTAAGGAAAACAATAAACCGGACTTCTTCTTCTTTTTTTTCCCCCCTTTATTATTTGAGAGAGAGAATGAGAGAGTGAGAGCATGTGAGGAGAGAGGTCAGCAGGAGAAGCGGACTCCCTGTCAAGCAGGGAGCGGACGTGGGACTAGATCCCAGTACTCCAGGATCATGACCTGAGCTGAAGGCAGACGCTTAACGACTGAGCCACCCAGGTGCCCCTTCATTTCTTCCTAATCTCGAAAAAGGAAACAGAGCCCACATTATCATGAAGGCATTATTCCGCTGAAGGGGCGCCCCCATTAGACTGTCAAGCACTTCACCAATTCAGTAATTTGAATTACCAGCTTGGCACTGGTAAACATTTGAGTTTACAGCCTCTGTTCTACAGCATCTCAGAAATGGAAAGAATAAAACAATCAACTAATCTAATCCTTTCATTTTCCAGATTAAAAAAACTGAGGCTAAGGTGAAGCGATTAAAATCAGCAGGACCTAAACCAGGATGGAGATCTACAAACTATGCTGTCTGCAATGAGAGATGTTCTTGGCTGAAATACCTCTACTACGGCATCAGGAGCTTAAATTAATTTTGCTTATCCAATAAGTAACTGTCGCCTTTTTTGCCCTTTTGAATTTTATTTTACCATTATGTTGTTACACTTTTTATTATAAAAAGTTTAAATATAAAAAAGTAAGGGGGGGCGACGGGCGGGAAAAAAGAATAGAGCAGGGTATAATGAATGCCCACATACTCATTATCTTGATTTAACATATTTTGCCACATTCACTTTATATTTTTTGCTGAAGCATTTTAAAATCTCAAACATCATGACATTTCATCCCTAACTACTTGACCATGCATCACTAATGTTTAACATTCAATGTTTTTTTTTTAAGATTTTATTTATTTATTTGACAGATAGAGATCACAAGTAGGCAGAGAGGCAGGCAGAGAGAGAGAGAGGAGGAAGCAGGTCCCTACAGAGCAGAGAGCCCGATGTGGGGCTGGATCCCAGGACCCTGGGATCATGACCTGAGCCGAAGGCAGAGGCTTAACCCACTGAGCCACCCAGGCGCCCTGAACCACCACTTTCTTAGACCTCTTCATTTTCTTTTATTTTTTTTTAAGATTTTATTTATTTATGTGACATACAGAGATCACAAGCAGGCAGAGATGCAGGCAGAGAGAGAGGGGGAAGCAGGCTCCCCACTGAGCAGAGGGCCCGATGTGGGGCTCGATCCCAGGACCCCGAGATCATGACCTGAGCCGAAGGCAGAGGCTTTAACCCACTGAGCCACCCAGGCGCCCCTAACATTCAATGTTTTCTAACAAATACAGTATAATTATCACATCTATCAAAATTAACAATATCAAAATTCTTGAATATCATTTAATAACCATTTCGTGTTTATATTTCTTCAGTTGTCCTGCAAGTGTCTTTTTACCATTGGTTTATTACTATATTTTTAAAATCTTATAGTTTTGTTTCCTCATGTTTACATGGTTTCCCATATATTTAAATATGGACTATTTCTCCAGTCTAAAAGACTAGAATTAGCTTTTTGTATTTTTAAAAGCATTTTCCTTTTATCTTCTCTCTTTAGAAACATTTTATACACATGGCATACTTTACAGATGTATTAAATGCAGCATATGGGGCATATATTATTTCACTGAATGACATTACTCAGATGCAATAAAATTTCATTATTCTTAGAAACAACTTTTATGCGTTTGACCATACATAGTATATTCCATGCATCAAAGTGTAATGAACACATTCCTTCACTGAAATACTGTGCTTATCTATATATACAACTATCATTTTTAGAAAGAATTTTTTTTTTATATATTTTTATTTATTTATTTGACAGAGAGAGAGAGATCACAAGTAGGCAGAGAGGCAGGCAGAGAGAGAGAGGAGGAAGCAAGCTCACTGCTGAGCAGAGAGCCCGATGCGGGGCTCGATCCCAGGACCCTGAGATCATGACCTGAGCTGAAGGCAGAGGCTTAACCCACTGAGCCACCCAGGTGCCCCTAGAAAGAATTTTTATATGTGTGCCTTATGGAATATATTAAATGCAGCACAGTATGGTAAACATCATTCACTGTAAACAACACTGTACTTACTCACATATATACCATTCTTAGAAATATCTTCTATAGGTAGTAGAATTAGCACAGCATTTTATTTCTCACTTCTGCAATGCCTAAATTCCCAAGGTGGTGGAAGAGAAAGGCAGCTAGTAGGGGGGATTTCAACCTGTGTGGAATAATGGAAATTTAGAGTTTAAATAACCTTATAAAAGATTATCTTTAATTTTATAATAGTATAGTCATCCCTACTAATGAAAATGTTAGTATTCAGCACATATTAAGATGGCATATAGTTATTTATACTGGAGATTTGTCATAGCAATAGTGCTTCCTAAAATTATTAGTTTGTTCTGTACGTATGTTTTAAACATTCTTTTCTAATTCCTCATCCCCATTACTAATGTGAATACTGAGGCAGCTGCGTCAGCCTGTGCCAATCTGTTGATCCACCGCTCTCAGTGTTAGCAGGAGCTGCCAAGTACATGACTGCAGCTGTCTTTGCTGTGTACTTCTTCTGTAGGCCCCAAGCACGTAAGAAGTCTGACAGACATATCCATGCAAAAAGTCCCATTTCCCCCCTCATGGATTCTATTTCTTGAATTTCAGGATGAAAATTATACAATGTTGAATTCTGTACAAAATGTCCATTCATTCTCCTAATTCTACATTTCTGCCTTAAAACGATATTCCTGCTTCTCTACTTCATCACCACAGCATTCCCTATCACCCAGTTCCCACTTTTATAATCCCACTATTATAATCTACTTGATTTTATTCAGATCTAGACTTGGAAACAAAACCTAAAGTTTTACAAGCCTTGTTGCTGACCATGAAATACTCAATTTAATCCCAAAATGCTAAGGTAGATGTTACCCTTTTGCTACCTCATTCCCAAGAAGATAACTTCATCCACATGAAATTTTCAGGCCAAAATATGAGGAGATTTATGGTTTTGCAAAAATAATGTGATTATTTGTTAAAAAAAAAAAAAGAAAAAGAAAAATACATGTACGTATAAAGGAAAAGCTATCTTTCACCTCCACACTAATCTCATTCCCAAGAGGTTGCCACTGTTTGGCATGTGTCCTACCAGTATTTTTTTTAAGTAAAGCTACATTTACATAGATATATTAATTTTTCCCATAGAAATAGAATCATAATAAAAATATTCCTTTGAAGATTTACTTTATCACTTGACAATAGTGACCATGTTTCCATATCAGTACATTAGATCTTTGGTCTCTTAATGGCAGCTTAAATTCAGTATTATCCATCAATTTCAACTTTTTAAACAATGCTACAATGAACATCTTTATAATACTGTATTTCATTAAGTGTGGGGTATACTTATTTTCATATCTGAATGTCTCTAAAATTGGGATACATATTTCAATCAGTGGTGTTTTTGATTTGGTGAGTAAGAGATAACCTTGCATACATATGTGTTTCTGCATGACTTATTTTTAGAAGTAAAATTAATGGAAAACATATAAAAGCAATTTTATTTTGATAGTTACTACTAAATCCTTTGAAAAGTCTTTACATATCAACAGAATATGGCAGTAGCCTTGCATGCTCTGTATGTTATGAAGTGATTATTTTACAACCTCGAGAGAAAAATATGGTATCTTCTTTATTGACAATTTTAAGAGACTGAGCATCATATTTCTTCTGCTAAGAATTTATCATATCCTAAGACAAAGACCATATGTTTTCACTCATGTGTGGAATTTAAGAAACAAATGAACAAAGAAAAAAGAGACAAATAAAAAAAGACTCTTAACTACAGAGAACAAACAGGTGGTTACCAGAGGGGAAGCGGGTGGGAGATGGGTGAAAGAGGTCAAGAGAATGAAGAGTACACTTACCATGAGCACTGAGTAATGTTCAGAATTGGTGAATCACTATATTGTATACCTGAAACTAATATAACACTGTACATTAATTAAATTGGAATTTTAAAAAATAAAAATTAATATAGTATATCCTTTGCCCATCCATACTATTATGTTGTCTCTTCTTTCTGAATTATAATAGTGCTTTCTATTTTATGGACAGTGTTCTTTGTGCATGCCTGTGTGTGACATGTGTGTATGAACAGTATTTTTCTCCCAATCTGTTTCTTGGGGTTTTTAAAACTTTGTTTTTGGTATATTTTGCCATACCACATCAGAAACTGCTCTTCTTGCCATTAGTATGCTTCATGTTCCCATGGGAAGTTTAGCATCAGCTCGCCAGATCTATGGGCTGCATTCAACTCAGCTATTCCTTCCCTCTTTTTTTCTCATGGTTTTTTATGCCTATCAGTTTCCCGGTAACTTTCTCAATCTCATTTGTTGCTTTATTTTGTCCTGTTTGGCTTCTTATATTGGTATTTCTCAAGACCCAAAGCTTGCCTCTCTACTCTTCTTACACTTGCTTCCTAGGGGATCATATCCATTTTCATGGCTAAAATACCA